TAAGTAGATTAGTTTTCCCACCAGTCTCTGATATTGTTTTTTTGACACCATCTATTTTATTTTTCACTTGTAACCTTTTATTTGGTTCAATCAGAGTTTCAGCTGTTTTGCACCCAAGCATTCCGGTTTCACAGAGTAAGTCGAGTACATACTTTCGTTGATTAATAAAGATCCCTTCCTTAGATCTAGCAAACTCAATACCAAGAAAGTACTTTACATCTTTTTACCAGATTTTTAATCTCGAATTCTGTGGCCAATCTTTCTTTTAATTTCTCAATTTCCCTAGCAACATCTTCTGTAAATAATATCATCTACATAGACAATGAGTATAGCGAGTTTACCATTGTCTGAATGTTTACAGAACATAATATGATCAGCTTGACTCTGAGTGTATCCATATGTTGTAATCACTTGTCCAAACCTCTCAAACCAGACGCGAGGAGATTGCGAGGAGATTGCTAGGAGATTGCTTGAGCCCATACAAGGATTTCTTTAATCTGCACACTTTGTCTTTTTTAAACTTCTCAAATCCTGGTGGAAGATTCATGAATACCTCTTCCTCTAATTCACCGTTTAGAAAAGCGTTTTTAACGTCGAGCTGATGCAGGGGCCAATTACGGTTTGATGCTATGGACAGTAAAACCCGAATAGAATTGATCTTGGCTACCGGAGCGAATGTCTCATGATAGTCAATTCCATGAGTTTGAGTGAATCCTTTCGCTACTAATCTTGCTTTATATCTTTCGATACTCCCATCAGCTTTGACTTTAGTAGTGAAGACCAGACTTGTTCCAACAGTAGGCTTGTTTCTTGGTAGAGTGACAATTTCTCAGGTCCCATTTTTCAAAAGATCATCAATCTCTTCCTTTGCTGTTATTCTTCAATTTGGATTACTAAGAGCTTTCTGTATTGTTCTAGGTTCATACATATTAGAAATTTTTGGCAAAAAAGCTTGATGTTTGTGTGAGATTTTTTTGTAGGATAGGTATTTCGAAATGGGATATTTGGTAGTACAAGAACGTGTTCCTTTTCTAAAGGCTATAGGAAGATTCAGATTCATAATCTCTGAATCTTGAGCTTCTGTTATTGAAAAAATAAGATCAGGATCATAAATTACTTGTGTTTCTTGAGGACCATCATTCGGTTCTTCAGATTGGGAGGGAGCTAAAGATTCAGTTTGAACTTTTTTTCTTTTATGGAGCCTCTCCCTCGAATAAACAAGAGGTTCTGTTGTTGTATTGTGCGGTATTTCTCCCCCTGTATTAGACAAGATACTTTCAGGTGTCTCTTGACTAGGGTTCTCCTTTTTTCAACAACTATTTCTGGTTCTTTGTTTTCACAGACCTCAGGTGTACTTGATGTTACAATAATTTTTGGTGATGGGTTAGAAACTTGCCAAAAATCATCTTCTCCATCTATATTATACTCCCCCTGAAGTGGATTTTTGTGAAAGAAGAGAATTTTTTCCATGAATGTCACATCCATACTAATGTAAATTTTTTTGTGACCCTTTTTGTTTGAGGCATATCCAAGAAAAATGCATTTTTCAGATTTTGGATCTAATTTTGATCGGCAATTATTCAGAATATGAACGAAACATGTGCATCCAAAGATTTTTAAAGGAATATTTGAAGACATTCGTGGACTTAAAAAATTGTTTTTCAGTTTGTTTAGAGGAGTTGTATATTGTAAAACT